TATATAGCTGTGTGGGAAGGAAAGTTATTCGCCCGGATGATCCTCAGTGGTCTGGGGTGCAGGCTTCAAACCTGTAGCTGTCTAGCGACAGAGTGGTTCAATTCCACCTTTCGGGCGTCCCACTTTGTTCTCTTATCCAAGCTATGCGTCATAGAGTACGAGTTGGCCTCGAAAACGATAATTCACTTCTGCGCTTGGCAATGCGTTTCTGTTTTTCCGCGAATAACAAAGAACTCCAAAAGATTAAGAAAAATTCGTCTACACTCTCTGTTCTAGGATATTTACAGTTTGAGAGTCATCCTGGATTCCTCCCCTTCACTTGTTTACTCACTTATTCATTTACTCACTCATGTACTTAATCACGCATGCACTTACTAAGCAAATATTTATTCATGTGATCATTCATTCATTCATTCACTCATTCAACAAGTATCTGTGGGGTGGTTGCTCTATGCCCGGCCCTGCACTGAGCGGTCCTGGGGACACACTGGTGACGACAAAACCCTGACCCTGACTTCATGGTGCTCCCAGTCAAGTGGAGGAGACAAACTTTAAACACTAATGAATTACCCATTTAATTAACAACTACAAAAAAAAAAAAAATTAACAGCTACAAAAGTGACAAGTACGGGGAAGGCAGGCACAGAACCTATGAGGACATCTTACAAGGAGACCTGAGTTCAGGTAGGGTGTCAGGGTAATAGCTGAATATACACCTGAAGGATGACAGAATGGATTAGCCAGCAGAGAGGGGGAATATTCCAGGCGGGGAAACAGGGTGGTCCCAATAACAGCGATAAAGATGGTGATAACTGCATTTTACTCTGCGCTCAGCGCTGGCGTGTACTAGCTCACTGATTCCCCTCAGCCCCATTCTGCAGCTGAGGAAACTGAGGTTCAGAAAGATGAAGTCTCTTGTCCAAGGTTACCCAGCTTTGGGAAGCCTCCAGCCCCAGGGCTCTCAGACCTCTGGCCAATGCTATTTACCACTGCCCTGTGCTGTCTTTCCCAAATCAGCTACTCACCACGTCCTGTCTGTTCTGCCTCCTCAAAGTCTTTTGAATCCTTCCCCTCCTCTCTCTCCCACAGCCCTGGTCCTATTCCAGGCTCCCCCTCACATCTCAGTGTCCTCACCCTAGCCTCATCTCTGATCTTCTGCCTTATCCTTGCCCCCTTCCTCTCCCAGCTACCCTCAACCTGGCAGCTAGAGGAGTCTTCCTAAAGCACAAACCTGTCCCTGACCTTCTTATGCTCAAAACCTGCCAGAGCTCCCCAGTACCCTCAAAAGAAGATCTAAACTCTTAGACTGGAATTTCAGCCTGCAGAATCTGCTCCCTGGTAACCTTTCTCTTCACACCTTTTGTTCTAGCGCCTGTGAACCTCTAGCTCCCTCAATGTATCAAGCCCTCTCCCCACTCACAGCTGTTTGCACTCACTATTTCATTAGACTCAGCCTTTTTCTATTCCCTTCTATGCTGTCTATTTATCCTCTAAGGCTCAGCTTAGCTATCCTCTCCTCCAGGAAGTCTTTCCTGACTCCCAGGTCAGCTTAGGTGCCTCCACTGGGCCCCTCAAGTCCCATGGACTCCCCCAACCCTGTCCAATTTAGATCATCCCTGACTATGAACAGGTCTGTGTCCCCCACTGGACTGTGAACCTTAGGAGGGGGGAGCCTGGGGCTGTCTCAGTCTCTGCAGTATCCCCAACCCTGCCCAGCACAGGGCTGGGCACACGATAAATGCTTAGCAAATTTTGTGAATTAACTAAGAAATTAAGTAATTCCATCCTGACAAATTCCCCTGCTTAGTCATTTACTAAGACACCTGACCTCTGGACCAGTACTTCCATTCCCAGAGTGCTTGCTGCTATGCAAATGAGAGCAGGTTTGGCTCTTGCAATGGGGATGGCTCAGCTGTATCTTTGGACAAAGTGGCAGTGGTTTTGGTTTAGTCAATCTTGGTTTGTCCCCAATATGTTCCAAACCCAGAAGAAGTGATCATGTGAAAAAGCAAAAGGCAACTGATCTTCACTCTAAAAGTGATCCAAGTTTTGTGACTCATATAACCCTGAGGAGTTGCCATATGCCTGAGTGGTCTTCAGCAGCATAAACTTTTTCTACCTCTAACTTTTGCTCAGACAATTCCCAGAACATTACAGGGTCAGGCACAATAAGTTCCCTACATATGAACCTTCAAGTTGTGAGTTTTCAAAGATGTGAACATTCATTTGCATGCCTAATCATGTAAGTTAGTCCATGTGCAATGATGCACGAAGGTTGCAGCAGCCGTTCAGAATGCAATCCAGTGCTGCCATGTCATCTATGACGAGAAAAACAGAGAGACTACCTAGACATCACTGGATGACTAGCAAAAAAGAGCTACTACCCAGACGTCACTGGTTCGTTTTTTCAAGAGGGTAGATAGAATTGAAGCCAGCAAGAAACCAGAACCTGTGCCATCAACGTCAGGCGTGAGTGAAATTGCAGCTTGCCCTCCGTCTCTTATTGTTGACGATCCTTCAGCTCTACTATCTCCCACCTCCTCTCCCTCCTCCAGTCAGTAACTCTTCTTGCCTCTTCACTCCATGCCGGCCCCTGTATGCCAGCTGTTGTGCTGTACACTGTACTTTTCAAGGTACTGTGCTGGAAAATTTTAAATGTTTTATTTTTTGTGTTTATGTATTATTTGTGTGAAAAGTATTATAAACCTATTACAGTGCAGTACTATGTAGCCGATTGTGTTAGCTGGGTACCTAGGCTAACTCTGTTGGGCTTATGAACAAATTGGACTTAACGAACGCCCCCTCGGAACAGAACTTGTTTGTATGTAGGGGGCTCACTGTATAAATTCTTCCCCCACCAGGAAACCTCCCTGACCTTTAGCATTCTGGTATCAGACACCTCATGGCTTATATTCTGCCTCATTACTTCTTCAAGGAGGAGGTACAGCCTGTGTGTGTGGGAAGTCCTCCTGACTGTCTAGCCTCCCTCCATCCTGCTGTTGGCTGATTCACTAGTAAGAGTTCCAGCGTGTGTGTGTGCGTGTGCAGTCCCATAGCAATCTAACCTCACTCCTTCATGCTGAAAGGAAGGCAGGCGATGGGTGTCAGGAGCAAACAGACCCTGAAGCTTGGTGGATGCACTTTTAAGAGCTTTTTATTGGCGACAGTGCAGAACCACGAAGGGGAGGGTAGCGGCCCAGTGCCAGCCAGCCCCAGCCCCCCCAGGGGTCAGGTGCAAAATACAAAAAGAGAATCACAAATACAGCATGGGGTGGGGGTAGTTGGATATTCAATAAATTGTGGTCTGCAGCGGCAGGCCCTGCTCACAATTTCACACACACCCAGAATCCTCAAAGATACAGATTACAAAAATCTATAATCCCACAGGCTTACTCACAAAAATAAAATCTCAGGTCCCCAACGAACCCGGAGTCGGAAGACCGCTGGAGGATCAGGGACAGTCAGATGGAAACGGTCAAGTAAAAACAGGTAGAGAAAAGACAGAGGGGAAGGGACACTCGGGAAAGAGACAGCCAAGACGGCCAGAAAACAACCAGAGGGGCCGAGACAATCAGAAAAGAGACAGCTAGAGACAGAGGCAGCCCAAGACAGGCCGCCTCGAAGTTTCCAGAAGCAGTGTTTCCAATTCAACGGCATGGCTTTGAGGGCCAACATGACCTAGAACAAGGTTGCAGAAGCTCTCACATACTCACGCGCACACACACACCCACATATAATATATTTATTTATACATAATAGATATAAGTGCCTTTCGGAAATCAGGAAAGGGATAAATAGCCACGGGAGGGGGGGGGGCTCTGGGTTCAGGGCGGGAGCTGCGGGACGGGGCAGTGGAATGTTCTCCATGCAGCACGGAGGGCGGCGTGACCCACCTGATATTAAAAAATATCAATTGGCCTCATGATAAAATTCTCATGAGGTGAAACACAGGGAAAGGCGGGGGGAGGAGGGAGGGAGCCGAAACCAAGAATTGGGGCTGGGGCAGGGGGAGGGGAAGCTGGGACGGCGGGAGCCCAGCCCCTTCGGGTTCAAAGCCTCAGCCTTTAAATCTTCTCCGGAAAAACGTCGGACCCCCTGGCAATCTCCCCTTGCTCCCTTTCTAGAAAGGATGTGGGGTGCCGAGGGGAGGGAGAAATTGGCGTCCTAGGCTGGGTTAGGGTGACAGGCCTTAAAGGAAAAGGCCAGGGCTTGGTCTGGGGGGAGGGGCAGGGGTCCTGAGGAGAGAGGCCACGCGAATGGATAAGTGTCAGCCCCTCTCGATTCTGTCACCCCCTTGAGTCAAACTCATTTTGAGGGGAGGAAGGAGGCAGGTGGGGGAGGGGAGACCACGGAAGGGCTTTGGGGAGTGGGCGGCACAGTCCCTCCGGAGGGGTTCTGTCCCACCGGGCTCCTCCCGCCGCCCAATCCGGCCAACTCATTTCACAGTATAAAACACTCCCGCGGGACAGGCACCACAGCACCCACTGTGATGTGGTGGGAATCAGAGAGGCCCAACAAGGAAGGCCCGGAGGGGAGGCTGACGGGCGGTGGGGGAGGGTAGGCTAACACTGTAATCCAAAAAGAGGGCTGGGGGCTGAATGTGCGGGGGATCCTTAGGGTTCAGGAAATTTAAATCAGAGCCCGTCTCGCTGGGGGGGAGCAGCTGGACGGTCAGGGAGGGAGGTTCACATTTCAGACTAAGTCTGGGTCGGGGGTGGGGGGAAGGGGATCATCATAGGGGGGCATCAACTTCCCTTTAAAGGGGGGCTCAATTCAGGGGAGGATCTACCCACATGGAAATGTTGGATAAATAAGCTAAGGTCGTGGTGGGGGACGAGCAGGGAGAACCAGCCTGGTCACCCCTTGAAGGGTGGGCGTGGGAGACTCTTTGGGGGTCCTGTGGCATTTCCTTGTTGGGCCTCTCTGCAGAGGACTACAGCTCACCCCAAAGCCCACCACCAGCACCCCTTTCCCTCCAGCCCAAAGGTGGGCATCACCCCCGCCCCCACTCCCCCATCCCCAGAGGTTGGGTTGAAGCCAGACGGCCGACAGGCAGCCGGGGGGGTCGGTGTCCATCCCCTCCCCACCCCCTGTCCCCAAAGTCACCAGCTCTCTGGTCTCGCTGGGCCACAGAAACAAGAGGCGGTACAAAACACAAGGAAGTCCTCCTGTCCGACGGCAGTGGCAGCTGAGGGTCAGACAGGAGAGGCAGGGAGGCCACTCGCCCGCTTTGTCTCTTCCCCTCTCTCCTCCTCATCCAAATCTCTCTCTCCCTTGTGTGTTTGTTTGTTTTGTGTCTAAAGAGTTCACAGAGCGAGAAGGGAGGGCGAGTTCAGGGGGTCGGAAGGCTGGTCGCTGCCGCTGGTGCGTTGGGCGCCGGCGAACGCGGAGACCTCCGGGCAGGTGAGGACAAACGAGGAAGTGTACGAAGGGTTAACAACGGGGAAGGGGTCGCCGAGGACTTGAACTTCACTGTGTGTAAAGAGAGAAGCTGTCAGGTTGGGGGGTGCGTCTTGGCTGGTCTGGAAGGGCAGGGGCGGTGGTGGCGGGGGCGGAAGCAGCCAGCTGAAACCATCTTCCTTAGTGGATGCTGACCCCGGCAAATCTCTCACCTCCGCCAGCGGGCCCGGCCCGGGCCCCTCTTCGTAGGGGATCTTGCAGCCCGGTTTGTGGGCCACCAGCACAAACTCCAGACGTTCCTTCTCCTTTTGGAGCTCAGCGATCTCCGACTCCAGCTCCGCCTTTTCTTCCTCCAGTTGGTCTGTCTCCTGAGGCCCGGGCGGCCAGGTCGCAGAGAAGAGCAAGGAAGGAGAAAAAGGCCGTGAGCGACTAGAGAAGGTGAGTCATGGCTGAAGCCATCTCTCCTAGACTGACTGCGGAGGCCCAGGGTTGGAAGGCAGCTCTGGACTGAAAGACCCCCTGAGATGGAGGCCTGGTGTGCTATGGGACTTGGGGCAAGGGTCTTGCTTTCTAGGAGCCTCAGTTTCCCCATCTGTCCAGTGGATGGTTGGGAAAGAGCCAGGTACACATAGGAAGTCTCTGGTTGCAAGAGGCACTCAGAGGTTTGTTGAGTGAGTGAACGATTGTCATATGTTTCTAAGGCCACCTCTTCCCTTCTGTTACTTTTCCCCCTCTGCCTCCCAGGGAAGAGACCAGGTAGCTCAGGGAAGTAAAGAATTTCCCTGATTTAGCGGGGAAACCCCTGCAAGTATAAAGTAGAAAACTCTCAGACTGAGGTAGGGCATGAAAATAGAGGGGCATCGTGGCAGAGGCCACCAGTCCAAGCTCTGAGAACTACGGGTGGCTGGGGCAGGTGGTGGGGGAATTGATATAGAATCAAAGAATTTCGTTTCACAGACTCTCCAGAATGTTAAATCTAGCAGGAACCTAGGAGATTCACTGAGGAGTTGAAGAGATGGAGAAACTGAGGCAAAAATGGGTTATCACTTGCCCAAGACCAAAAAGGGGAAATGACTGGAGCGCCCCTCTATTAAAGTTCGCTCATATGTCCCCTCAGGATGAAGTGAAGGCCAGGCAAGTGGTGTGTGTGTGTGGAGGGGAGCCGGGGTCATAAACCGGGACAGGAAGCAGCCAGGAGTAGGTGAGAGCCTGCGTGTATGAGCTGGGTGACCCCGTCTGTATCTCGTTCCACATGTGGAACCTCTGGTTCTCAGTCCAGGATAAGGGCACAGGTGGTGGTGGGTAACAGAAGATGGGGAGAGAGCCCCCCTTCAGCATACCCTCACCCCACCCCAGGGACCATCCTCACCGCCTGGAGTCGGTCAGTCAGCTCCCTTCGCCGGTTCCTACACTTTGCTGCTGCCAGTTTGTTTCGTTCTCGGCGAACCCTTCTCTTCTCCTCCTCCTCTGGAGTGAGCTGAGTAGGGGAGATAGAGATAGTGAGATTTGGGGGACATGTGTTCCTCCCCATCCACCCCGAAACTCCTCTTCTTCAAGAATCCCCAGGAGTCAGAAAAGAACCTTCTAGACCTCACTGACTGTGGGGAGGATGATAGGGTTTCTGCAGCATTGAGGCTGCAGATGGTCCCTCACCCCAACAGTGGGAAAGTTCCTGCCTCTCTTGCTTCTTCCCCCGCCCCCACCCCTGCTCCTGCACCCAGAGCAAGCTCTGATGCCCTTTACTCACCGTCTCCTCTCGGGGTCTCCTAGGCCGGGCTCGGGCTGGGCGGGGCCCAGGTCCAGTCCCAGGTCCACTGGTGGTTCCGCTGGTGGAAGGCCCACCACTGCCACTAGCTCCGCCACTGCTGTAGCCACTTATGCCCGGCGTGGAGTAACTGGTTCCTGGCATGTCATAGGGGTCAACGGCTGTGGGCTGGGAGGCCAGTGGCTGCCCCTGGGACTGGGCCATGGAAGAGATGAGGGTAGGTTGCACGAGCCACTGGAGGTCCTGGCTGGTTGTGATCGCGGTGACCGTGGGCACGAAGGAACCGGGCATTTCCCCAAGACCGGCGCACTCCTACAGGGTGACACATACACACACAGGCGTAGACACACAAACAGAGACACCGACACACACACACCCAACACACATACACACACCGACCCTGTGAGTGAGCACAGGGCCAGCGGGTGTGGATGTGTGTGTCACAGGCAAAAAGCCACAACACCCACCCTTCCCCTACACCGTGACGCAGTGGTTAATGAGAGGATTTCTGTGCAACTGGCTTCTACCTCCTCCTTCTTCCTCGGGGAAAGGTTGCACGGTTCCAGCGGGTGGTGAATCACACCCCGGGTTGGTGACTCTTAGGTGTGGGGGGTGGGGAGGAGGCTGGACACAGCCGGGTGACAGAACCCCCGGGATGGAGTCACAGCCACACACACAGCCACAACACCCCACCCCCACCCCAGAGGCAAGGGGAGGGAGAGGGAGAGGCCTTAGGCTAAGCCTCCCTCTACACTCACACACATATACACACCCCTCTGGGCGAGGGGATGAGAGACTGGAGGGTCCATGAGACCCCCGTGCAGGGGCGGGGGTCCCAGTTAAAAGGGTGTTGGGGGACGGGCCTAGGAGTTTAGAACAACGTTTCAAGTAATTGTCTCTCCCCAGAGTGAGACTGACAAGCGACAGGTTACGGTGGGTAGACAAGGAGAGAAAGTGAGCAGCCAGGCTCCCTCAGACTGTCGCGGAGGTGGAGTGGTGTAGGTCCCGAGACCCCAAGCCTAAACACCGTTCATCTCCCCCACCCCCAAAATGTAATCCTAGAACTGCTCGGAAGGCTTAACTACTCTCCCAGGGGGCGTGGTGAGGGACAGGCTGGCTCGCTGGCCAATCAGCATCCTGGAAACCCAGAGGGGGCGGGGCTCCTGGAGACCACCTGGCTGGTTCGCCTAGGGCTAGCGGTTCTAGTCCTGTCTTCGGACAAACCGGAGACACCCGGCGTCGGGAGCATTAGGAGTGGGAATGTATCTGTGTGTGCCTGGAGAAGTGGGTGACGGTCACTATGTCTCCCAAAGAAATTCCGGCACACAGACACCCTCTGACCCTGAGAGCGGAGGGACAGGATCCCGGCAAGGTCCTTGCGGACTCATTGGATCGCAGAAGATCGCTCCTGTGGCAACAGGAATCCCCTCGCTCTTCCTCTAGAGGCCCGTAAAAGAGACCCTAGTGCCGAAGAACCACGGGTTCCGGGGACGAACTGGGGGAAGGAAACTGCACCCTACAAATAGGAAGGGAAAGTTGATTGGCCAAAGCTTGCGCCGCGGCGGCCAATCGGAACGCCGGGCTGCCCCCTCCCTTAGCAACGTGGCCCCGGCGTTCCAAAATAGAACGCTCCCGGGACGTCAGGGGCGGGGCGGACGAAGGGGGCGCCACGCGCCGTGCGTGCCCCGCGTCAGACGGAGGATTCCAGCGCGTCAGCCGTTACGCACGGGTTCCCCGTTACGTCTCCGCGCAGGAGGCGGAGGCAGCGCCACTGAGGGTTCGAGGCCCGCCTTCCCACTGGGTCGAGGGTGACCCGGCGCCGGAGTAGGCGCTCGGATGGAGGAGGAAAAAGGGAGGATGCTACTGGAAGCTTCCCCGGGATTTCCCCCACCTGCCTAACCGCGCTAGCTTCAGGTTGGTGACCTGAGTGGGGGGCAGTCCCCGAGCCGGCTAAAAGTTCTCAGCCCTGCTACCTCATACACGTTGCACTGAACGGCGTACTCACCCCACCCCCAAAGCTCACCCCTCTGTGCTCCCTCCCTGCGTTCCACGCACACAACCAATTGCAAGCACGTCCGGACTCTGCAGTTTGCAGAGTGCGCCGTGAGCCTATCCCCTCTCAGATCCTGGATTTTGACGCGTCTTTATTTGGGGTGGGGGGATTGCTCGCTCCACCCTTGACTTAAAAAAAATTATAAACCACAAAGCATCACCCCAACCCTCTATAACTTACCTGGGAGGCGGCGGCGGTGGGTGGACTGCCGAAGGAGTCCACCGAAGACAGATATTGAGACTCGGCGGAGGGTGAGGAGCTGCACCGGGAGCCGGAGTCGTAGTCTCCGGGGAAAGCTTGAAACATTTCCCTGGGCACAGGGGGGCCCCTGTGACCACGCTGAGGTCGCCGGGAAGCCAAGGCTATGGCCGGGTGGGGGAAAGAAAGGTGAGAGTCCGGGGAAACTCGGGATGGGGGCAGCGTCCCGCTCCAACAAAGGCAAAGTTTCTGTGTAATTCTTTTGCGGTGCCCAGGCCCCCACAAGATGCCGCTGTGCCTCCTGAAAGTCCAGGCTCCGTAGGACCCGGGGGCGAGGGGGGATCGCTCCCCCAGAGGCGGAAAGCTCTGTCCTGCTGTACAGAATCTGCTTCGGGTGCGGTCCCCTCCACGCGTCCGGCGGGTCCCACGGGGGGAGGGGAGTAATAAGGAAGACGAAAAAAAGTAAGTCGATCCTCCAAAATAAAATGTAGAATTATCTAGAAGAATCCTTCCAAAAACTTTCCGGAAAAATAATAAACTGAATTTCACAGCCCCCAAGACGAAGAACCACTACAATCAAGTCCCAGCTCCGCGTATCCCAGCCTTGGCCGTAGCTCTCAGTCTTATGAATGAAGCCCAGAGCCGCTGTATTTATATGCCCGGGGCCCGGCCCCCCTGCTTACGTCACCCTTCCCGCGCTCCGCGAACTTCTCAATATCTCCGGCCCTGGTGAACCCAGCCACGCACCGTCCGGCAACAGGCCTGCCCTGGCCTCGATCTGATCACCTGCATCACCCTCGCGGCCCTGAGGGTCTTGGGGGCTGCGTTCTGAAGCACTCGGCGGGAGGGGATCCCGGCCTGGTCTCCCCGGAGTTCCTGTGACGCAATTAGCCATATAAGGAGCTTGGCCGGCGCCGCTGAGTGTTTGTTTGGTATCCTAGCAATTACGTCAGAGGGAATCCCTCGCTCGCTCGTGCGCTCGCCCCGCGCGCCTGCGGAACCCGCCCGCGCTTGCGCAGTGCAGCGCCGCCCCGGGGGCTGATATTAATAGGCTATTAGACTGACCCAGCGGAGGATCCCCGCAGGGAAGACCCCAGATGGGGGTCCCCCTCACCTCTGGCCGCCCCTCCCATTTCCCCTGGTGGTGCAGCGCTCTCTCTCAAGAATAAGGTCAATCTCCAAAAGCAGCTCTGGCTCTGTGGTGTAGTCACATAGGCGGGGAAACTGAGTCCCGAACCGGGTGGGAGGGGCTGTGATGCTCCAGGTGAAAGTGGAAGTGGGGGTGGAGTCCCGAGGCTCATACCAGCTTCTGCCCTGACTGGCTGTGCGACCTTGAAAAATGTCTTTTCTCTCTGAGCTTCAGCTTCACTTTTCCCGGATGGACAAAGGATGTGTGTCTTGGACCCTGCTGCCCCCAGAGATCCGGCGGCGTTTGGGAGGTACGCGGGTTTGGTGGGGATGGGGAATAAAACAGGGTGAAGTGTCCCTCCTGCTGATGGTGTGGTTAACCTCTCCTTTCTACTTTATAATTCTATCCGTAGTCAGAAATAATGTATGTGTGTGGGGGCATAATAAATAATAATAGTAATAATAATGATGATGATGAAATAATAATAATAAATGCCATGTATTTAGCACTTACCAAATACCGGCTCTTGTACTAAGCCTTTCAATACAAGATTTACAATCGTTAAAACAGCTTTGGAAGTTTAAGGGAGGAAAAATCTTCATTTTATAAAAGAGGAAAATGATAGAGAGTTTGTGACTTGCCCAAGATCCCATCTCATCCCATCCCATCAAGAAATTCAAACCCAGGATTCCTATTCTCTTCCTGACTTCTGAGAGCTGCCTGGTTCAGTGAAACTCCCTGAAAAACCTGGGTGTTGGGATTGTTTAAATGACAGTTCCATTGGTGAGGAGTTATAAGCCTTGCAGACCTATCCTGTCTGCTCACAGCGTACACTGTTGTAACCCAGGCTCAGAGGGGAAAGCTGCTTACCTAGCCACCCAGTTAGGAAATGTAGTTCAAGAGTCTAATTAGGGTATTTCAGACACCACAGCCTCCAACTCTTAGGCATCCACTGGTAAGGATCTCAGTAGCTGCATCAGAAACCCGGCTTCCTGGCACTTCCCTCCCAGGGCAGAGCCTGGCCCAGCCAGGGCACAGAGGGTGAAGCACTTTAAAATTGTTGAATCCCACAGGCCCAGAGGGGGGGAGGGCCTGGCTCATGGTCACACAGCAGGTATGAAGCCAAGCTGGAGGGGTTGCGTGGTTCCTAATTCCCAGGAGAGTCTTGATTCTCTGTCCCAATAGTGGGGGAGGGGTAGGGAGACCTGGAAGGCTGAGGGGACAGGGGGACAATACAGGGAGATTGAGGTTTCCAGACAAAAGCCCAGCCTCAAACACCTCTTCCCCCACGCCCCCTCTGTCTGCAACCAGTCTGGGAGGAGGGATAGGGACTAGGAGATGACACGGCAACCACCAGCAGGCAGTGACTCGGCCCCAGCATCAGACAGGGAGTGACCCCTCATTCCTGTCCTGTCCAAGCCCCTCATCTCCTCTCCCACGGAATAAAGGAGACACACAAATACCTACCCTAGCTGCCCAAAGACCTTCACACCCCGCCCCAGGTGGCCCATACATCCACACATATACTCACAGGGGCACGCAGGCATTCAGCCACAAGCAACAACACACACCGCCACACAGAGAAACAGCTTCACGCACACACACACCTGCAGACAGAAACACACACCTTCACATGGTTACCAACACACATGACACACACATCCTCACTATAGATGCACGTGGTGTTCCTCACACACAATAACAAGAGTAATTCTTCTGAGCACTCATATTAACTTATTTAATTCTCACAACACTCCTATGAGGTAGGAACTATCATTTTACAGGCAAGGAAATGGAGGCCCAGAGAGGTGAAGTCACTTGCCTAGAGTCACACAGCAAATTAGTGGCAGAGCTGGGATAAGAATGTAGCCTGCGGGGCTTCAGAGCCTTTGCTTTTAATTATTATTAAATGAGTTATATATGTCGATATATTCACACGCAGATGGTCACACTCATGCAGACATTGGACATTCAATCCCCGACAGGCAGACCCAGAATCTAGGTGGCCTGGGCTTACATTCTGGCCCCACCACTTAGTAGTTGGGTGAACTTGAGCTAGTGATGTCTGGAGCCTCAGTTTCCTCGCTGGGGAAAGGAGGGCAGGAATAATGCCCAGCTCATGGGGCTGGTGAGGGGATTATGTGAAATGAATATCAGTAAAGCTTTGGGAACATGCCTGGCACATTGCAGGCACTTGTTTTGTTTTGTTTTTTAATTTTAAAAAAAGTTATTTATTTTGTTTTTGGCTGCATTGGGTCTTCGTTGCTGCGCACGGGCTTTCTCTAGTTGCAGCAAGCGGGGGCTACTCTTCCTTGCGTTGCACAGACTTCTCATTGTGGTGGCTTCTCTTGTTGCAGAGCACGGGCTCTAAGCGCGCCGGCTTCAGTAGTTGTGGCTTAAGGGCTTTGTTGCTCTGCCGCATGTAGGGTCTTCTGGGACGAGGGCTCAAACCTGTGTCCCCTGCATCGGCAGGCGGATTCTTAACCACTGCGCCACCAGGGAAGGCCTTATTTTGTTTTTGAAATAAAGCTATGCAGACCTTTGCAGACCCTCATAGAACCGTGACCTTTGCAGACCCTCATAGAGACGTGACCAGAAGCAGAGACACACAAGATCCCATTATAGCTTTCATGGGTCCAGGCACTTTTGCCTTTGTGGGCCTCTTTCTCCATAAAGACATCTTTAAAATTATTTATCATGACTACATTGGTATAAAGACAAATATTAAATATTAAAACATTTCATTTGACCTAGAAGTTTAGTTCTTCCTTGATTTTAAAAGAAATTAAACACTTTCATGGGCCTCTAAATTTATCATGGGCCCTAGGGCCTAAGGTAAAAATTGGCCCTGGAGACACACACACACACACACACACACACAAACACACTCACACTCTCACACACACACAGAGTCTTACTCAAACATACACATGGACGTGAACACCTTGCCCCCAGAGCATGGCATGGGAAAGGCAAGTCTTTTGCCATGAGGCTGAATCCCAGGGAACTTCCAGGAGGAGGAGGACTTGAGTGCAGAGGAGAGGGCAGGACCCCTGCTCTGGCTCCCGAGGGCTTGGATCTGTGTGTGGGGGAGCAGGCAGAGCCCTCAGCCTTCTGCCCCTTTTGGGGGTGGGGTGGCAGTGCCAGCTCTGTTTGCTCAGAGCATCCTGTAAATAGCCCCGGGGACCCAACTCTGCCAAAGGGAGCCCTCAGCACATTCTTCCATTCTTCTTTTGGCAAAACCCTTGCTACTCTGTTCCTCAGTTTCCCCATCCATAAAGCAAGAAGGTTGGATGACCATGGGCTCTGCAAGTCCTTTCCAGTTCTGAAATTTCATAACAAAAATGAGGAGGAAGATACGGAAAGTAAACACTTAGCTCTGCTCACGTGCATTATCTCTAATCCTCATAGCACATCAGCCCCATAAGTAAGTTATTGTCCCCATTGTACAGAGAAGCAAACCGAGACACAGGGAGGTTAAACCTGAGAACAGTGCTTCTCAGCTGTTATGTGAAATCAAGTAAGCTGGGGAATCTGGTTACAACACACATCTGGTATAGTCTTTTGTGCTTCCATGCAGCCCCTGGGTGATGCCAAGGCTCTGGCTCCAAAAGAAATGTCTGTGAGTTTCTGAAGCACGAGAGGAGTGGGGTGTGCATGTTTGGGTGTGTGTCCTGCTGTGACCTCCGTGAGGGTAGAGCCCAGGTGGTTAGTAACTGCTGGCTTCTCCATGTCCAGCACTGAGTAATGAGTGTTACTGGCTGGCTGGGCCCACTCCCCACTGAGCAATCCTGGTTGCCTACTGGAGGGGGTGTCTGTGGTGTTTCAGGGAAGCAGAGTGGTCCAGATTGGAAACTCTTAGCTTGACCCTCCCAATACCCCTGCATCCTGCATTCAAACTCCTCACTCACCACAGCCCGCAAGGTCCGGCATGACCTGGCCTAGGCCGACCGCTGCAGCCTCCCCTCCCCCTCCTCTTTGCCATGTTCTACACGCCGTGGTCTCTCTCCCTAGTCTTCAGGGACTTTGTATGTGTTCTTCCCTCTGCCTGGAGCATGCCCCTTTTTCCTCCCTCTAGCTCATACTCTCTTCCTCCAGTTCTCAGCTCCTGTATCCCCTCCTCCAGGAAGCCCTCCCTGGGTCAGTACCCCTCCCCCTGAGAGCCCCCCTCCCCTCTCTGCCTCTCTGGGTTCATTACTGTCCGGGGACAGTCTGGTCTTCTTCACTGGTCTATATTATTATTCAGGCCTGGGCCAAGGCTGTCCAGGTCACGGCCAAGTCCCCAGCACAGTGCCAGGCACTCAGCAGGTGCTCAGTAAATATTTGTTGATTAAATGAATCTTCACCATCCACTCATTTATTCATTCATAAACTCTGACAGACTGCCTTGGACAGAAACATATCTGTCTTGCTCAGATCTGCATAAATGCCTACAGGACAAGGCACACAGATACACAGCATCACACACTCAGATCCCATT